TAGAATGAAATGGAATAATGGTATTAGAATAGAATAGAATGGGATGGAATAATGGAAATAGAATAGAATAGAAGGAATGGAATAATAGAATTAGAATAGAATAGAATGGAATTGAATTGAATAATGGAACTAGAATAGAATAGAATGGGATGGAATAATGGAAATAGAATAGAATAGAAGGAATGGAATAATAGAATTAGAATAGAATAGAATGGAATTGAATTGAATAATGGAACTAGAATAGAATAGAATGGGATGGAATAATGGAAATAGAATAGAATAGAATAGATGGAATAATGGAAATAGAATTAGAATATAATAGAATGGAATGGAATAATAGAATTAGATAAGAATAGAATGGAATGAAATAATGGAATTAGAATAGAATAGAATGGAATTGAATAGATGGAATGGGATAATAGAATTAGAATAGAATAGAATGGAATGGAATGATAGAATTGTAATAGAATAGAATGGAATGAAATAATGGAATTAGAATAGAATGGGATGGAATAATGGAAATAGAATAGAATAGAATAGATGGAATAATGGAAATAGAATTAGAATATAATAGAATGGAATGGAATAATAGAATTAGATAAGAATAGAATGGAATGAAATAATGGAATTAGAATAGAATAGAATGGAATTGAATAGATGGAATGGGATAATAGAATTAGAATAGAATAGAATGGAATGGAATGATAGAATTGTAATAGAATAGAATGGAATGAAATAATGGAATTAGAATAGAATGGGATGGAATAATGGAAATAAAATAGATTAGAATAAAATAGATTAGAATAGAATAGATGGAATGGAATAATAGAAATAGAATAGAATAGAATAGCTTTGCACTGGAGCACAAATGAAAATTGAAATGGCAGCTGCATTCCATCTTACAGAAAAATCTCAAGACAGAAGAAATTCAAGAGCACAGTGGCAATAGTAGTAACTCCTACGAAATTGGGAAGACCCCGTGTGACACACTGCATTTGGTGTTACTAATTACTTAATTATTGTACACCTAGAACTGCCTTTAGCTGAGATGCGTGGCATGTAAGTTTAATCAATGAAAATACCAATAAAATAAAAGCCATGGAAAAATCTGGACAGAGTGAAGCAACCTGCCTTGGTTACACATTCTTCATTCTGCCCTCAAACTCAATATATGGGTAGCCCTCGACGTACGACCACCATTGAGACTAAAACTCCCGTATGACAAGCGAGGCCGTTCTTAAGCGAGCCGTGCCCCCCCCTTTTTTTGCCACGGTTGCAAAGCGAATCACGTGGCCGTTAAGCGAATCTGGTTTCCTTCACCGACTTTCCTTGTGGGAAGCCACCTGGGAAGGTCACAAACGGGGATCGCGGGACACCCCCCCTCCATCCCCGCGGGACGGCGCAACCGTCATAAATACGGTTGACGAGCGTCCGAATTTCGACAGAGGCCCTGCCATGGGAAACGGCCGTTGTTCAGGTCTGCCGTAACTTTGAACGGTCACTAAACGAATGGTTGAAAGTCGAGGGCTGCCCGGATTGTATGTATGTAACGAGAGATCCACTCCAGAGAAAGAGGAGAAGAGAGATCAGAAAGGGAGGCGAATGGAGGAAGAACAGAGGCAGCCAACGGGGATCCTTTCCCGCCGAGTGACACGGAGGCATGCTGGGAATCCACTCACCAGGGAGCTTTGATGGAAAAGCACCCCGCTCCAAAGAGGTAAGGCCTTCACGGAAAGCAGGGGAAAGGCACAAAGATTAGATGGGAGAGGTCATTTAACCACGAGCCACTTCATCAGCTCCTTAAATATATATTTGCTTTTAGTGTTTCTTAAAGGGGGGGGGGGGATGCCAACCCTTCCCCCCCCTACTCACCTGCAAAACAGAACTGGACAATTTGCCACGGCCAACTCTCGCCGCAAGATATTTCCAACCATTCAAAACCATTTATGAGCCGCGGTGGCGCAGTGGTTAGAGTGCAGTACTGCAGGGCTACTTCTGCTGACTGCGGTTCAAATCTCACCAGGCTGAAAGGTTGACTCAGCCTTCCNTTGTGGGAAAATGAGGGCGGGGTGGGGGTTATACGGAGTTGGATGAGATGTAGCCATAACAAAATTCCTTCTAGAAAGCCAAGGTCATCCTTTGTCTCTGCACCTGACCGGATCTGGATGGGTGGAACTGCCAGCATGGCAGTGGGAGATTGGACTATGGGATGGACTTGTGGGGGTGTGGGGGGGGGGGGATCTTGATCTTTCAACTGGGTGGGGAAAACCGGGAGGCATTCAGATTCGGGTTTTCCCAGATGTGCCAACATGGGGCTCTTAACAAATTGGAACTTTGAGGAATCCTTTGTCTTGGACTCTGATTTAATTTTGGATGCTATTTGGAACCCTGACAAAGGGAGAGATCGACAGTACAAGATAGTCCTCAACTTATGGCCACAATTGAGCCCAACATTTCTGTTGTTAAACAAGACAGTTGTTAAATGAGTTTTGTCCTCCTCCTCTCCACAAACCCCACTCTCTTCTAGCACTGGCGATGTTACCTAGTTTGGGTCATGAAACGTCTGCAGGAAAACCACCCAGCTCAGAGAGGACCAAGGAACCCCACAGTTCAATCCTGAGCTACCAAGATTCTCTCCTATCAGATTTGATAACAGATGACCTTAGTCTGAACCTGTGGGGTTTGAGATTCCATTCTGCCATTCTTCCTGAGCTTAGTTTTCGATCTATAATCCTTATTTTTGCAACGAGCCTAAAAAAAGGTCAGCAGAACACCCAAATTCTCACAAAGGCAATTTTTTCTTTCTTTTGAAGACCTTTCACTTCTCATCCAAGAAGTTTCTTCAGCTCGGATAGGATGGTGGGGAATGGAAGGATTTATATTCCCCACTATCCTGTCAGAGCTGAAGAAGCGAAAGGTCTTCAAAAGAAAAAACAAGAAAATCCAGTTGCTTCTTGGAAAAAAAGCACCTTTGGGACAACCCTGACCTGGAGGACTGAGAATCTCCACAGACCCAAATTCTCAGCTCTTGGGGGGGTGGGGGTGGGGTGCTCGCCAACACCTGTGATTCGGGGGGGGGATCTTTCTCCTTTCTACTGACTGCCTGAGAGACTTTCTCTCCGATACTGATTGCTGCAGAAGCCAGCAGTTTAGATCCAGGAAGGATCTAAGGAAACCTTATTCCGGGGTCCCTAACGTCACTTCTTTCTCCCAGTGTCATCAGTGGGGTAGGCGAGCTGGACCTGGGCAAAGGTGACCCCAAGGAGACGCAGGTTCCAAACGATGGACCTTATCCCGATTGCCCTTACCTGCTGCTGGACGTGCGAGAGCGAGATGCCTATGACCAGTGCCACCTTGTGGGAGGTGAGACAAAGGCACTCACCGTGTCCCCCCGCAGGGGCATTTTGTGGGAGAACAGAAGGGGCCACTCTCCCTGCAACGGACCCTTCCTTATAACTGGGTTGTCTGCCACATCTATTCATCTCCACCCCCTGCCTTTTATCCCCAGAGCTAGGATGGGGCTTTGCTAGCAGCAGTGGCTCTTCCGTCCCGAGAACCGGCCCATAGATTTCCACTGCTCTCCTCTCCTCTGCCCTCTGTGCATCAGGTACTGGACCCAGAATGGAAGCATCTGAGTAGGCTGCTCAGCCTCATATTAGAAATCCTAGCTAGTTGAGGAATTCTGGGAGTTGAAGTCCACAAGTCTTAAAGTTCCCAGGTTCGGAGAGCCCTGCTGTAGAAGCTCGGCCTCCATCTCCGTCTAAGAGCCTAATGCTTTGGACTCGTCCTCTGTTATTTGACCCAGGTTCCTTTCTGCTTTTTCCTAACATATTTCTCTTGCCTTTCAGCTCACTCCTATCCCATCGCTACTCTCTCCCGAACGATGAATCCCTACACCAACAGCATTTTGGAATACGTATCCTTTGTGAAGTGATGACGTTCCTTGGCTGGGTCATGAAACGTCTGCAAGAAAACAACCAAGCTCAGAGTGCTCCAAGGACCCCTCAGAAACAGACTCAAGAGGGAGGAGGACTGTGGGAAGGCTGCTTCTCCGTCTGTCTCTTCTCCCCATGGAACTTTGGACCCTTAACCCCTCCATCCGCTAGAAAAATGCTCACGGGAAGATTATCATCCTTTATGATGATGACGAGAGGGTGGCCAGCCAAGCAGCCACCACCATGTGCGAGCGGGGCTTCGAGAATCTGTTCATGCTTTCTGGAGGTAGGAAGGCTCGGAGGCCTTAGGATTAACCTCCTTCCCAGCTGGGATCCACTGAGCACAGAGAAAGGCAAGGAAGTGGGCATTAGGACTGCCTCTCCTGACTCTATCCCTGTAATTGGAGGGAGTTTTTTAGAATGAGAAAGAATTAGAATTAGAATAGAATAGAAAATAGAACAGAGAATAGAATAGAAAATTGGAATGGAATGGAATAGAAAGGAATAGAATAGGATGCAGAATATAGAGCTGTGATGGCATGAGAGAGAAAAAAAACTCCTTGTCTCTAGTTGTTCTGACGTGCAGTGCTCTATAGCGTCGTTTTGAGGGTAGGAGTTGAAACCATTTATGTCCAGGATGCGAGGGGTCTGTAGATATTTTCACGGCCCTCTTTTTGACTCCTGCAGCGTACAGGACCTCGATGGAAGAAGGCAGGCTGCTTGCAATTCCTTTTTTGTGCCGTCCTAACCACTGCGTATTTTTTGGGACTTCCCTGCCATCTTGTCGTCCTCCTGTTCTCCCAGGTCTCCGAGTCATTGCTCAGAAGATCCCCGAAGGCCTGGTGACCGGCTCCTTCCCCGCCTCCTGCCTGGTGGCCAGTCAGCAAGGAAACTCCCGGAAAAAAGCCACCACTCCGCCGCCACCCCTCGCCCACGCCGCCGAAAACAAGTGGAGGTTTACCGCAGAGGATCTGCAGAAGATACAGTACTACCTGCAGGAGGAACAGCTTCCCAGCGACCCTGCCAGTAAGACTCCCACCTTCCCATTTGTCTTCAAGGCCAGAGACCCCTTTCCTGCAGGGCTGTTCTGGGAGGAATTTGCGCTGGGCTTAAGAGGGTCCAATCAGGCCGCAAAATCAGGTCCCAAAGGTGTTTTTTTTTCCAAAAGGCAACTGGACTTTCTCCAGGTGGTTTTGTTTCTTTCCTGAAAACATTTTGCTCCTCGTCCAAGAAGCTGCTTCAGTTCTAACTGAAAAGCTTTGACTAGAACTGAAGAAGCTTCTTGGATGAGAAGCGACACGTCTTCAAGGGGGGGGGGGGGAGCCAAGAAAGTCCAGTTGCCTTTTGGAAAAAAAGCACCTTTGGGACAACCGAAGCATCTCCAAAGACAACGAAGGACAAGTTGTGATTCAGAGCGCACACAAGCACCCAATCAGAGAAGGCAGCATGGCTGCTTTCAAGGGTTCCCAGCCAATGGTACAGGCACAGCCACCCCATTGCCCCATTGACAGGACCCTCCTGCAGGCCTGGCTACAAGGCATTGCTAGGTGACTGGTCTGGTGTGTTGCTGGAACAACCTCAGGCAAGTGGCACACACGTTGGGGCTGCCCTTTGCATCACCCTGGAGGTAACACTGCCACAGCCACGCTGATGGAGCGAACGTAGCTGGCACATGGGGGCAGGGATCAATTTGGGAAGGCAACCCTTTTGTCGCTCGTTTATGACGGTCCCTAATGTGACTTTTTAAATTGTGCGGCCAATCCAGAATGGATTGTTCCTCTGGGTGGTTCG